CTGTCGGGCATTCATGAATGAAACTGTTCTAAACGTGTGATTTGTAACACATTTATTCCATAAATAGTAGTTAAAACCTAGACACTTTTTACGTTGCAATAGTAAAATGTGTAAAAGTTCATGGGTTAAACACACCAAAGTATGTTTTGCCGCGTCTCGAAGCGCTAATAAATATTTATTGAAGTGCCCGCTGTGAACGCGATAAGCACTGCGATGACAACAAGATCGGTAAACGATTGGATTTATTGGCATCGTTATCTCACCATGGACAGAAACTCCATTACGGCTAGCTAGCCATAAATGTTTGAAAAAGAAAACGAAATAAATGTCAGATAAATAAACTGTTTGCAGTAGCAACTTAGCCACTTAACAACTTTATGGAGATATAAAAAATTATCTAACACCAAATTTGTATCGAGAGACGCGAATGCGCGCACATAAGAAATTGAATTAAGAAATTACGAATGTGACACGTGCCGAAACATAATCAATCACTGAGTAAATATTGCCTTTCGTGTGTGGTAAATTGTATTTTAATCGTTGCCTTTCCTTTAATTGCAAATTGTTTACAAACATAATCGCTGTGAACATTATTCAAGAGCATTTTTGTTTTTGATAAGAATCTCATTCAAACGTAGTGACAAAAAACGGAATACAGAGCAAAAAAAAACGATATAAACACAAAGCGGCAACATCAAAGTCCGACACGACAAATCGTAATATTGCAATAGAGAGCGGGAAGTAAGACGAGAAAAAAGGGACGACGGAATGTGATGCGTAAATGCAACAAAACATTCCACCGATTAATATTGATCTCTCACTCTCAGCCATTTTGATGAATGACCGCCCCCTTTTTTCTCGTCTCCGCTTTGCATTTCACTTTTTCACATCAAAATTTCCTTTACACACATCATCATTTGCTATACTGTCATATATTCGCCACCCGCCGCAGCTGTTCCATGCTCGATACACAGCAGAAACAGAGAACAGCAGACACATATAAACATGAACAGTCGCTCCTTTCATTGTATGCATATACAATACACAGACGAATGAACAACACAAATGCAATATCGTTGATTTGTGACTCACCAACACATGAACATATCAATAGGTGAGTGTGTGTGTGCCTCACGTACGTCATCTATCGCAATAAAACTTAATTTTGATTAGTTGACCGGCATCGAAGATGTTTCACGATTGGTTTATGATAGTATTTATCTTTATATCCATTGCTTTGGAACTACAACACTCTTCGGTTTTTTATATTTCCACAGAGGAATATAGTTCAATGTGCAATTTATTGTTTGTCTGAGTTATTTTTATCCAAATGAAAACAAAAATAACCGAAGAATGCATAACTTCAAGTTCGAGTCTTTGTCTATTGGCAAGAACTTTTATATTAACCAAGGATAAATCAAATGTTCCAAACGATTCATCAAAATGATTTAAATTTTGTTAACAACAAAATAAGCACTATAAAAAACCACCACACAAACCGACGAACAAGAAAATAAAAACGTTCTTTAAAAGTGTTTCGAAAGCAATAAAAACAAAATTAAGTTATCGAACATAATTTTTGGCGGCCGCATCGCATTAGTTAATCCGATATATAACAGGTGTCACTGCCATCACTGAGAGCCATCAAGTAAATTTATGGTGTTTCTCCTCCAAACATTCTCGTTGAAGCGTCTATGTAAACATGTGTCCATAAAGCTTCGAAAGGTTTCGTCTTTATCACGCAAGCATGAATATTTCAGAACTTTGTGCCACTGAATGTATTAATGGAGAACACAATGGAATTTTGTGTTCGTGAAAACCAAATATTTGTCGAATTCTTTGAAGTTTTCGAAGCATTTTTGAACTAATTCAATTTGAATACTAAAGAATGGATATCATGAACAATCCCGCTTTAGAACAAGAATGAGAACAGAAAAAAAAACGTTGCCTACATTCAGGCTTTTTTTGTTCTTTTTCTATGGTACTAAAATTCCAATTGGAATGGCAAAAGCTGTTGCCAGAAAGCCAAGGATATAATGGAATTGCTTTCAGAAAGTTCATTCCAAAATTAGCTTAGAGTTGATTGAGCATTTTAACATTGAATTAGAGAAATGTTGAAATAAATATGACAAGAGAATTGGAAAAAAGAAGAAGGAAATGTCTTACTATTCGGTTTTGTAAAAGTGAGTTTTGCCATCGAGAGAGGGAGAGAAAGCTTTCATAGTTCGAGATGTGTAGCAGCAGGAATTGTTATCTCTTTTGCTTGGTTTGTTTTTCCATATGCATGCACATATCACAAACTGTTCATTTTCAATTTATGATCTTTCTCCCGTTCATTTTCCCATTCCTTGTCTCCCTCTGTATATCTCCGGCGAATCAAGAGAGCGAGTATGTGCAAACATCCCAGCGGAATGAAGACCACATATCATTTTTTGTTTTTGTTTTTCATTTATGCAGACACCAAAGCCACTGTGTTTGTGTTGAGCGCTCATATGTGTGGTGCTGTTGAAAATTGTAGACAGGCGAAATCGTCATTGCCATTGGATTGCATATATCGCGTATAGTCGTCGACGACGACGAAGATTTTTTTTTGCTTTTTCTTTTCGCTATGTTGTTGGTTGGTGTCGTAACGTGTGCTTCGATGATGATGTATGTAGCCCTCGAGTCATTTTGCCAATTTCAGCGGCAGAAAAACGCAAATACAATTGCACACAATGTATTCGCGTCGCTAGTTTTGGTCGGAGCTATCACAAGTAAACAATCAAACGAGAGCGAGAGGAAAAAACGGTTGAGTTGAATCGGAAAAAAAAGTTTTTTTCATCTATGAAAATATATGACTGTCAATGTTGACGCTTAGATGCGAACAACGCGAACTGAAAACAAATGCATTCAGTTTTTTTCCGCTTCTCAGCGGCAGTAACAAGCAATGATTGGTAATTGCACGTTGAATTTGCGCCACATTGTGTAATACAAAATGTGTATGATGGGCCGAGATATGCGAATATGACCGTTATCATGCTAATTCAATTCCATGCTCGCATTCACAATTCACTTTGGCCAAACATATTTTTGGAGCACAAATCTCGTGGCGAATATTTTTCCCTCCTCTGTTTGTGCCACATGAAAAGAGAAAAAAAAAATGAAATCGAGTCTACAGATCCACAAACGTAACCGATGCTCATGCGAAATCAATAGAGTGAATGTGTGGCTTGGAATGGCGTTGAAAATTCCCGATATTTCGTTCGTTGGCAGAAAAACATAGCAATGCTTTGTGCTCATCGCGTATTTGTTCATTGTTGTAGCTGAGTCGATGCGCCGGTTTTTTTTGTCTTATGAATGAATCAAATGGGATTCTGTGTGCTTGCTCGTTTTCATCAGATGCGAGCGACTGAGTTTGTTGTTGTTGTTGTCGCCGTCGTCGTCCGTTGTACAAGAAGTTTTCAGTTTTTCTCTTTCTCCTCTCGTTTTTGTGCTCAAGACGCATTCGACTCTATCCATAAAACTCCATATAAACTATCGACCAAATTGTATATTCATCCGTGAAAAGCAAACCGAAAACCTGCCAGCCAATGGAGAAAAGTTTTTTCCTCGCTCACTTGTTCATTTCACTTCGTTTGTCTTCTGTGTAGTCTGGCACTTTTTTTCTGTTCGTCTCTCACATTTGTTCGCCCTCTCGCTCTCGTCAGCGCTCTGCGACTGCTACGGGGATATGGTTGTGGAGGTGACACGATAAAATTAATGAATCAATGAAACAACAAACCAGCATAAACTACACCTTACCATTAGTTATCGATATTTTCAATGACGCTCATTTGAAAGGCTCTGTTTTTCACACTTTGAAAAAAAAAGGCGGAGAACGAAAAACTTGTAATTAATGGATTTTCCCAACTGGTGGATAAAGAGTTTTCGGCCATGGAATTTCGCAAGCTCAGCTTTACGATGTAAAATTTTTCGGGTGCCCGAATTCAGGAAATGCTTTCGATGTAAAATGAACAAATTCGTTGATTGCCAGAGGATGTTTTTCGCTTTGATTTAAAGATGTACTCGAAGGAGAATTCTCATTTCGTTTGATGCGAGCCGGTAATAAAGAGTAACGTTTGATTCGAAGACGATTCTTTGAATGAATAAAACACACTCAAAAGATGCAAAACAATATTCATGTGGTGAAAAGATTTGAGTTGACATGTTTTTGTCTGTCATTTTTTCAGTCTTTCACATTAATCTATTTGAATTCGTTTGATGAATCGGAACACTTTTAAGATATAAAGTGATTTTTAACGATTTGGTAGATTAAAAGTGTCACTCTTTGTGTGCTTGTCATTCTGACCTTTTCGCAATATCGTATTGTGGCTGGTGAAATGCCTAATCAACGCCAGATGAAAACGAACATATTTTAATTCAAAAACTTTATAACTTTTCCACCACACAGATTCGAAAAACTTTTTGTCGGAATTAGTTGATGTTCGCACTTTAACGATAACAGAACACTGATCCTCGAAAATACCCTCCATCGCTGTAATAAAATCCAAATAAGTGCCGAGACAAAAAGCAAATAGCAATTAATTCGATTAAAAACTAATTTCAATAGAGCGATAGTGGAACAGTGGAAAAAAAGATTATCGCCCAAAACAAATTTGCAGTGAAACGCAAAACCATTACTCGTGTCAAATGTCGAACTGGTTGATAGGATAATCTGTTGTAAAAGCGATTCGAGGACAAACGTTAAATGGAAGTGGTGATATGTGATAATTTTCTGGCGCCAAAACTGGCCGGCTTCATGAGAATGGCACCGAAGCAGAAATGCGATAATTGGCATGTCTCGTATTATAATTGTTGATAATAATTAATTGCGCTGACCCAGCAGTAGTGCGTTTTGTAATTTAGTTTAACCTATATTCATTCGAGCTCTGCGCTGATTTGACACTGAAGAAACCATTTTTACGTGTTTTTTTAACTTTGTATATCATTTACCAATCGAATTCTTTTTATGCGTTTTTCAGATTTGTTACCAGAAACTAAAGCAACAAAAAGATTATCGCCTCCTCACTCAATAGTGTGACACATTTAGATTGAAGCAAAATTATCGATACACAAAACAGAAAGAAAACCCCGTATGTAATACGTTAAACGCGTCGTACAATTAAGACAAGTTGAAGCATTTTTGATTGAATAAAAAGAGCTTTAAAGAGTTGATTTTCTATCATTGTGAAAAGGATAAACAATCGAAAAAAAACATAAACAAACAAAATGACAATGAGTACAAATAATTGCGAAAGCATGACTTCATACTTTTCTAACTCGTACATGGGTTCAGACATGCATGGCCACTATCCGAATGGCGACCATTTGGATGTGAACCAACAGATGCAACACTACAGCCAGAATCCAACTCAGAACAATATGCCACCATATCCACGGTTTCCACCATACGATCGAATGGGATACTACAACCAGAGCCTCGAACCAACCGGATTCTCACGACCGGAAAGCCCGTCAAGCCAAGTTGGCATGCCACAGCAACCGAACGGCGGCACACAAATGGCCAACCCATCTCAGCAACAACAGCAACCGGTCGTTTATGCCAGCTGCAAATTGCAAGCGGCCGTTGGTGGCATCGGCGGCCTCGAAGGTAGCTCACCGCCACTCGAACAAATGGGACATCACATGAATACTCAAATGACAATACCTCATCACATGGCACATGCACAAAGCCAAATCAACGTAAGTCGCATCTTTATATTTGCATTCTTATCGTGGGAGTTTAATCAATTTTGACCTTTTTCAGGTTCATCAAAATCAGCACATGGGAATGTACACACAAACGGGAAATGTGCCGCCTGTTGGAACGCCACAAAGTATGATGCATCAACAGACTGCACAAATGCATCAAGGTCAACAGCAAACACCATCAAATAGCCAAAACTCACAAGGATCGCTACCCTCACCGCTCTACCCATGGATGCGAAGTCAGTTTGGTAAGTAACTGCATTTTCATTTGAATAGAAACAAATCTAATTAGACCAATGTGCATTTCGAATGTCGTACCACGCAGTGTGCTCTGCTCTGCCACTGCCATTGTAAGTTCACAAAATTCCTTAGAAATACTCTTGTATTTTGTTCGCACCGCCAGCAGAAAAGGCAAAACAATACAATTTGCTCTACATTCTACTGGTAAAAGTAGCTCCTGCTGTTTTCGTATTTTTTCTTTCGAAATTACAAATTCGACACGGTTTCTATTTCCTTTCGTCTTTCAAAACCAATTTTGCTCCATTTTTGCACATTCATTCTTTTGTTCAATATGTAACATTTCCCTTGTTGCAACACGGATTCCTGGTGATTCACCTTTTTTCCAGTAGGTAAATGCACTGACTTTGATCTTCATTCGCAATCATTTGGTGAAAGCGATTCAATTATTTCAAGGACCATTTAATCATAAATTTACACAAATGCAAAATAGCATCGCGAAAACACACGCGCAATAATCCTTAATGTATCGCATATATCCTACATTTTACCCGAGCTGCTTTGCATTGCAAACGACCAGATATCTATTTCAGTGGAGAGTGTGTGTGTTTGTTTGCTGATTTTTTAAACCTTTTTAACGAAAACTCATAGTATATAAGCGCGGTACATGGTGGCCATAAATTTTGCAATATTCAACAAATAAATGCAACAAGTGGCTCGTTTCGCTGACACATCTTTTGCTGCAAAACGCTTGCCCCGTTCACCGAAGGATTCAAATGAAAGTGTATTTTCCCTTTTTACGCTGTCCTTCCACACTTTCTTACGTGTTTCTACATGATGAAATACGAAGCAGATGCGGCCTCGTCAGCGCCGTAGCCAGGCCAGCGCAATGGGTGCATTGCACCCTCCAAAAATTTCAAAGGTGCAACAAAATCGGGTGCAAAGTCGGGTGCAAAATCGGGTTTCAAAGGTGCAACAAAAGAAAAATTTCGATTTTGCACCCTCCAATTTTTTTTTCTGGCTACGGCGCTGGGCCTCGTCGTGTGTGTGTATCCCAACATTCAAATAGAGTGAGGTCGTTTGAAGTGATCATTTCCATACAATGTAATGGCTGCAATTTACAAAAAGCAATTCCCGAACATTTTCGTACAGTGATTTCTCAATCAGCCAATGTGTCATTGGAAAGTAAATAAAAGTGGCAATTAAAAGACGAGAGAGAGAGAGAGAGAGGAAAAGAAGAAATTCCCTCATTTGATTTTCGATGGTTCATGAATAGATTGTCTGGGATAAAAATATTTACACAATAAAACATCATTTAAAGAAACTGGCTTCGATGGCGCAGTAAAATAAATGTCTAATGCTGCGACTACTTTTTCTTGTACAATGCTATAGTCTCTCGAAACCTGTGTGTGCCACCACAAAATGCCAAACGCAACGAAAAAGGAAACTTATCTGTTTGCGCAAAAAAAGGGAAGTCTCTCACAGTTGAACCGCAATTTTTCATTGCAAACTCGAAATTCACGAGAGCAACGCAGTGCGCGCACATTGAAACACACAGGGAGAGAGAGTGAGGATATGAGCATGTTCGCGATTACGATTTTTCTTTGACAATAGATGGAACATTAGTCAGCGTCGAAAACACAATAATAACACATTATTCGTACGGCAGCATTCAATTTGTTTCTTTTTTTCCACCGCTCTGCCATGGCTTTTTCTCTCTGTTCCTTCTCTATCTCTGCGTTTCAATTCCGTTGATAAGTTTTTCGTTTCTTTGTCTATGGTTCAACTGGCCGATTTTTTTTCTCTCGTCGTCGTCATTGCCATGGATATTGGTCTTGTGTTAAATGAAAAATGTATGGAATTCCATTTTACCTCTACATAGTTCACATCACAAAATTGTGATTCACAATCAATGTGTGTACAGCGATAGAAAAATAGGCATCACTTCCTATGTGTGCTCGGCTTGCTTTCGTTGTGCGCATCCAAAACGAAATCGATAAAACATGAATGTTATCTTTAACGCGTCTTATTGAATCCCCGTAAGGAAAACAATTCAGTGAACCGTTTTAGTTTGTGTGTTCCTTATGGCTTTACTGTGTGAAATGCCATTATTCAGTATGCTTCAATAACAGGGAAAAATGCCGAGCGGAGTGAAAAAAAAACCCAGTGCCAAGCGTCAAGAAAAAAATATAATTAATTAGCGCTTTATCGGGTAGATGAACACAGCGCTTAAGAAAATAGTAGCGGCAGAGGCAGTGCCGTTTACGGCATGCACGAAAGAGAAAAGAAGAGAAAAAAGCACCGGAGAAATATCGAATCCCTTTTTCAACTTTGTTCACAGTGAATGCGGCTCGGCGCAATGTACCAGAGAAATAGAGAGAGAGTTTTCATTGGTGCGTTCATGGCCGCTTTTGTTTTGCTTTTTCTCCCGCTTCGTCGGGATATTTTACACATTACGATTAGGCCAATTTTTCTTCCATTTTCGGCTGAAGATGAAATATTTAATGAGGGTAAATCATGATTTCCGGATTATTAATTTCATTTGTGTTTTCTTCTCTCGTCATTTTCATTTTATTTATTTTTGCTGCTGCTGCTACTGATGCTGTGGCGAACGAGCGGTCGTTCGTTCATTCTTCCGTATTTTCCGCTGGCTTTTGTTTTGTCAACCATTTCTCATTTGTTTATTTCTTTCCGTCACCAGCATACCACCGGCATTTCATCGCGTTCATTCTTCCATTCTCGTTCCTTTTGACGGCAATTAAGCGAATTTATCTTGAAAAATCGATTTTCGTGAATTATCCTTTTGAATTTTCCATACACAAACAACAAAAGACAATCCAGTCTCAAAGGACTGTTGCGGTTACGGATTAAACATGTTTCAGTCGATTTCTTGGAAATAGAATCGAATTAGAACGAATTTAGAAGGTTTTGACCCGAATTTACGTCATTAGAAGTTCATTTCTATTCATAGCAGCAGAAGAATAACAACAACAGCAACAAGAAAGATAGAAAAAACGAATCGAATTTCAACAAATACGAATATAATTCGTAACATTAGCGCTTGGACCTTACGAAGCACAACATCTCAAAGATAAGATCGACATCATCGCACCGAGTTGTTAATAAAATACAATAGAGTAAATAAATATAAAAACAACTGGAAAACCTAGCGTCACGAAAGTTGAGAAAAAAGTAGAATAAAATACATAGCAATGACAACAACAGCAACAACAACGGCAAACACTGAATATACTTCTTAAAGTAGTGGAGAAAAAATACACTCGTGCACCACCGCCGATTTTATACGCACACTGGAACAGCAATACTATTTATAAAAGATAAATAAATTGATGACTCTCATTGTGTATGTAGCATGTAACTAATGGATGGTAATCAATTTTGCTTTACATCTCAATCTCTTTGCGTTTTATTCTTCTTTTTCGGTCGCTGTGCCTTCTTTTTTTTCTCGTTTGGTTGCTGTTCTCGGTGCGTTTTGTGCCTTGCGAAGTATTTTTGCTTTCGTGCTCTCCCTTCTTGTAGATTTGTTTTTCGTTCCACCGGATAGAACAGGGATTTTGGGCGACTAGAGGAGGAGACGCTTCAGAAGACGCCAGACTGATGATTTGTCCAAACCAAAATCCAATGAAAAAGTCTTCGTCGAAATGAAATGAAAAATACTTTTTTTCTTGCTAAAAAAACAAAACAGCAATTCGAAAAAGTGCCCCAAGAGGAATGTGGAGGCCACAAAAATTTAACACCATCGAAAGTTCAACTTTGAAAGTTGCACCGAATCGTTTACGAATGATTCCTTACGGCGATTTTCATTTGATAGCCATTGCCACAAGGCAGATAAACTCAGATAAAGAGAATGCGTATAAAGTGCAGGATAATGTACATTTGAATGAAATCCACATTTTATTGCATAGTTTTACGTGATTTTGTTTGGATTGTTTGCCTGAACAGACGCACACACACACATGACGAAGGAAGCGTGTAATTCATGGGGATTTCGGTAACAAAGAGTCAACAGCGACAAGTGTTGTATACAATAGAAGCGTTGGTCTGTATAAAAATAGATAAAAGATCGGCTTAGCAGCATAGATAAGTGTGAAAAACAGCAACTATATCGCCTTTTGTGCAAGATTTCGATCAAAATACCTTCGTGAGGTATTTGTTGCTTAGAAGCAATTTTCCAAGCTACATTTTTTTGCATCTTTTTCGAAATTTCTTGAGAAAAAAAGTGCCAACGATAAACTATTCAGTGGCTGCCCAATTCAATAAAATCAATATTCCCACTTGGAAAATGTGAGTAATGTTCTAGGAAATTCAAACGAGCGAATGCTTTTCGTGAGCTTCTTAATCAAAGTAATTGCCATCTGCTGGTTGCCATGTGATGATGATGATGATTCCACGTATGCGAGTACTTTGAGTGGATAATACAGTGGCAAGTAGCAGCTAAGACTTGTTGTGCCAATCCAAAAGCAAGAGAGAGAAAGAGAGAGAATGTGGCATCGCAGAGAGTCCCATCAGCATTAAAATGTCGTCAGAGAATATTTCATCATAAATATTTCTAAAAACATAAAACAGGAAATCACCAAAGTGAAATTTTTCTTTATTTTGCATACACACAAACAAAAACATGTCTTCGTCGACGCCACCGCCGCCATCAAGCACAAAAATAAGCGTACAAGTAAAAGAGAGAGCGAAAAAAGCGGGATAAAAAGTGGAATACATCGAGTGGTATGGTTAAGCGAAGCCACTTTGAGCAAATAAATCAAAATTTTACCAGCACAAGAGCTTTATGAACACATTCTCCGGCATTTTGCACGCAAAAACGCGCCAACCAACTCCGTGTATTCATATCCATATCCAAAAAGGCTGGGATACATAACAATTGCGACAACGACGACGACGATGTGAATGAAATCCTTTATGAATATGTTAAAACTTTTGCACTTCAATCGATTTAAAAGAAATTTCCCTCAATACTGTGTTCGAGCAGAGGGAAAAA